AATAATTTCTTGGTTATGATTATGAATTGCTCTCGAATTATAAGGAAGATTTTCGGCTGGTGGCCTCCACGTTCTCCAAATTTGCTGTATTTAATTAAATGTCCAGGATTTTGAATGATATAGTTACCAAAACAAAAACAGAGTGAACTCAAGAAAGTAATAAGAAATATCAAACAATTTCTTGATTTCGCCGTTTTGGCCAGCAACAACTAGTACAACTAACCACATATAAACACTGCCTCGCCGTCACTATTAGTTGTAATGTGATTTGGAGATAAAATGTCATACTGTTTTGGTATTTTGATTTCTTTGATAACATTAGAATTAGTAAGAAGATAAAACATGGAAAACAAAATATCACCTCTACGGCGTATACAAGAATACATCAAGCAACACTTGTTTTGCCTCGTTGAATGCATAGAGGTTTCAGATGAAAAAGGTACATAAGACTAGAGTTTAATTTTTGTTTTTAATGATCTGCTAGTTGCATATGTGGCTGTATCCCTGTTAATATTCTCACTGTCTGCATTTTTTAAACCTGTAAATCATGTAAGGCGGTAAGAATCAATGTTTCTCATCTCTAAGTCAGTTATTTGTGTAGATTTAATAATGCTGATAACGATTGCATTGAAAATATTTGAAAAAGAGCAGCAAAAATATATAATGAAAATAATCTAAGTATTTTTGTAACCTAACTCTTACGTTAGACAGGAGAAAGACGAAGTGGCTATATTAATTTAAAGTAAAAAAACATCGTATTGTTGCATTCAAAAGTGAAGTACATTGTATATGGTGATTTATTTTCTGATTTCTAAATATTGAGAATTCTAACAATCGAAAGATCATTGTTGATTCATGACAACTTCCAAGGCAATTTGAGTATAATCTTTTCTTGTCTTCTTTTTATCTTTTGTTAGGCAGCATTTAATTCTGTACTTACAAATTAAGACATTACATGATACGAAATTTACATGTTTTCTATTTGAAAGGAATATCTTAAATGTTACATTTGCCTGTAATTCTTTATAATTGGCCGTTAATTCTGCAAAAAAGTTGCTCAAAATTTGTCTTTAATTCCGCATGACGTTCCTCCAATTTGTCTTTAATTCCGCATGACTTTCCTCCAAACTTTCCAATCTAACTGAAATATCACAAATTCAAATTTACATTTCAAATAAAATATGGCTGCGCAGCAATGTTAAGGCGTACTACGAGAAAATCAACGGAATATGAACGTGCATAAATACAAACTTTTTTTACCGAATTTATTTTTGTAAAGCTACTGGATCATCACATGAATTTAATATTAATTGAAATAACATTGTATACCGCGTTAATTCTGTATTGAATTTGATTTGCTTACGTTATTTGACATTCACGTTATAAATGTATGTAATGTGTACTGTACGTAGGTCATGAAGAAATTTCAATATCGCAAAGGCATACCCTAGGTCAAATTAAAAATTTAAGCAATAAATTGTTTCTAAATATCTTATAGTTTATGGAAAGTGCTTCTGCTTTAAATTTAATTCGCATTTTATTAGTTTAAATTTGAGGTTATTTAGCTCTAGTCGAAATATGTTGGACCTTCACCAAGTATTTTATGTATTAATTAAGTTATGCTCTCGATTTCAGGAAAGCAGCAGCACTTTGCAAGTTAAGGGATGTTTCCTTTATGTATATTTAAAAACTGGTCAAGATCTATAAACTGTATGCTCTTGCGAAAACGCGATTTAAGGAGGCACCTCGGCGTGAAACATGCGAACCCTGTACAAAAAAAAACATTGTAGAATAAATTCAATACATTCTCGCGATAGTTTTTAAATGAGGTTTCAGATTTGTATTAATGGTCTACCTAACATTTCCAAATAATATTCTCTTTAATAATAGAATGCAATATTTACATTTGCTGTGTATTTCTACTAAGCCAACTGTGAAATTGATATGAATGCCATTTTCGTGTATATTCACATGTAGAAATATGCACGGAGGAACTCGCGCTAAAATGACGTCACAATGAGGCTACAGAGAATTCGTAAAATATATAACGATATAGAGCAGCAAATAATTCGAACATTGAGTATATTTTCGGTGCTTTTGAACAATGTAAATATAAGGAATTTTTCTAAGTTTAGTGTGAATTATTAGTGTATAAATCACGCAGAATTGCACGTAGAGATATTTTTCATGAAAATACGGTGAAATACCATAAAACAACACATCTTCTAGTTTCTCGTCTCTACTTTCGTTTTGATTTAATGCATTTCCGTGAATATAATGCTTACTTCCTGTAAGGGGAGAAGTCATTAAAAATGCTTTTTAGATAAAAAAAAATGGGGAGAGATATGTCTTTACAGTAAAGAGATATCTCTTTTTGCTTGAGAGATATCTCTTTTGGACATTTTTGAAAGATATCTCTTTTACTTTGAAAGATATCTCTTTAACTTGGAAAGATATCTCTCAAAGTAAAAGAGATATCTCTCTAGGTGAAAGAGATATCTCTCTAAGTGAAAGAGATATCTCTTTAACACTAGGAGATATCTCTCTTAAGGAAAGAGATATCTCTTTAAGTGTAAGAGATATCTCTCAAAGTAAAATAGATATCTCTCTGAATGAAAGAGATATCTCTCTGAATGAAAGAGATATCTCTCTGAATGAAAGAGATATTCTCTAAGTGAAAGAGATATCTCTTTCTTGGAGAGATATCTCTTTAATTTGAGAGATATCTCTTTAATATGAGAGATATCTCTTTAATTTGAGAGATATCTCTGTTATTTAAGAGATATCTCTCTAAAATAAGAGATATATCTGTAATTTTAAGTGAAATGTTATTTTACAAGTAATTAGTAAAAGGGCTTGCCCTAAGCGACAGTACTAAGTTGAATTAAAAAAAAAGGTAGTAATCGTGCCTTCGCCAAACGCTCAGCACTTTGAAGTGAAAGTTACGGGTCTTTCCGATGAGACCTTGAAAACCAAAGCCCCGTGTCACAGTAGGCCTTGCAACGATAAAGATCATTCACTGCTCAATGGCCGATTAAAGGTCTAAATTTAATTTGCAGCCCCTCATCGGTATATGGAGACTACATTTTATAAGTGAAAAGTTCTCGAAAGGGACGTAAAATATAAAATCAATCAATTAATATAAACTGTCATAACCCTAACCCAAAGTCAAAGGCAACTTTGTATAACTGATAATCCCTGTCCGATCCACAACTCTCGGATGGAAAATAGTGGAAATTAATACATGTGTATTCATAGAAAGATTAATTATGAATATATGGTGTGTCATGACGTTGACAATGGAATAAAAGAAATAATTTTCAGGGTCGTGCAAAGCCGGTTCTGCAGATATTTATTTTTCAATGAAGTATCTTTAAGAGATCCCAAAGTAATAACCATTGATTTCTAATTAAAGATAGAGTGGAATATCATTTATGGCAGATTTGAATGGCATTAAAGATGAAAAATGGCTCCACATTAGACAAAACTTTCCTTTCCTTTGTGTCAGAGATACGCATAACTTTTACAATAGAATGTGTAAATAATTAAAGATAGTGTTTTACTACCGAGGTACCTAGAAAAGGAACGCAATGACACCTCCTCATTTGGCAAATGCTAAAACGACTCCAAATTCAAATTTTATGGAACATAAGATGGCTGTGTCTCAAAATCAGATATTTTCACTATCCATATAAAAGTTGGCACCGTGATTGCTTAGAGTATTTCCTTCGCTAACATATAGCAACATTCGAGACAAAATGTATGGAGCTAGGTTCACTCTAGCATGAAATGGTCCTGTCCATATACACTTCAATTATTCAAGTCCCCAACACACTACGTCTCATTTAAAACACAAATATAAAGGAGATACTAAGTGCTTTCATTTTCTGTTACAAACTTTCCTCTGTGAGTCCAGGTATTAAAAAAAGATTTGTAAAATTTCAACTTTCTTGAATTTTGCAGAAAACAGGTGTTTATGAGTACCTTCAGCAAAGAATCAAATATAAGCCCACTTCCTCGATCATAAAGAAAATAAAACGTGTTTTTAAATCTTCAAAAATAGTTCTTTCATTATATATAATAACTAATTTTGTACGAAAGGTTGAAATCAATTAAATATTTAAAACAAACTGCTGGAATATCTAGCTATATAAAGAAACTTTCAGTATTTGGGAATAATGACGCAATTCATGATACATGGATTAGCGAGAAAATTAAGTCATTTTCCATAAATATCCATTCACCAAGAGTTAAAGTGATATTTTAATGAAATGAACAGTTTTGATTTTTCAGAAATTCACAAGACCAAAGATCCTAGGTGAACCTTCCTCTTCGATAAATTTCCCTTGTTTGTTAAATTGTTTTGATCTTTGTCATATGTTTAAGAAGTATATATATAATGTTGAGAAAATGTGGTTAACAAAACATATAGAAGGAAATCTTTTGATTTACCTTTTCCCTTTCAGGGAAGATAAGGAAGTAAATTATTACAAAGGATTTGAACTACATGTATAAAGAACAAAACATACTTGTCACATTATAACTTTTGAAAGTGTGACCGGTCGGCAGGGGATGCTCACTCCTCTATGGCACCTGATCCCACCTCTGATGTTTAGAGGTCCGTGTTTGCTCTGCTCCTATTTTGTATTGTTTTATGGACTTTTGAGCTTGAATACTGTTCGTTATCTCAATATATTTCATTCAAAAATTATATAACCTATATCAATGAATCGGTTTCTTTGTAGCACAAACTTGAAATTTAAGTCAAAGTTTAAAAAAAAAAAAACAGACTCCTGTCGATTAACATTTTGATTTATTTTACTAACTGTTCTAAGTTTTGAAATATACATTGTAGATATAAACATAGGATAGAACAGGTGTATAGGTAATACAAACTGATCATGAATAAATTTAATTCTGAAAAGTAACAGAAACTGTGTACTGAAAACCAAATCTTGAAATACAGAAATCCTTCTGTGTATAAAAAAAGTACTCAAAAATTACAACGAAGACGATTATCTTTTGAAAATTTTCTCACAGCAAATCCTCCTAAGTTCATTTCTGAATTTATTGTCAAAAATCCAGTAAATATACGGATTAGCAATGTGATTCAGAAGGTTCAAACGCAGACAGAAATAGAACAAATTTAACATGAACCCTCTCAGGACCATTTTGGGATGTAAGAAAGTGTAGACCTGCGTAACAAGTGACGTCAGATACGAAACTACGTAGACAATAATGATGACGAGAAACATGACGCTGATATTCCTCCGCGCTCTTTGTTCCCGGTTTTCGTGGGTCTTTAAGGTGTTTGGGGGTTCAGTATTATGGGTTCTCACAACATTTTGTGGTACAGCCGTCATTGTTATATTTTCAAAACTGACATCCTGTGTTTCTTTGGATGAGATATCGGTGACGTCGTCTGGAATTGTACTGGTTCGATTTCGTTTGGTAGGTGACAATGTTTTATAAATAGTTTTGATCACAGGAATGTACAGAGCGGAAGTGACAATGATATTTATAAAAGAAAGAATGAGAAGAGCTCCAAAATACGGGATCATTACACTGTTTCCATTGCTTCCATCATCGAAATGACACACTGTTACCGAAGAGGGTTCAAGTATACCGCTGAATTTCACAATTGGAGCGGAATACCCAATCGATATTAGACATATAATCATGGTAGCAATTTTGCATGATTTTGTTGTCATTTGCGGACCAAACGGACGACAGATGATTAAATATCTCTGTAATGCTATCGCAAGTATTAAGTGCGCTGACATCCCTCCTGTCAGAATGATTAAAAAACTAAAAATTTTACATAATATTTCACTAGGGTATATGTAACGCATGGTGTTGTCAATGTGAAATTGGGTCACATTGGAAACACATCCTGCAAGATCCACAAATGCCAGAATTGGAATGAAAAACCGAGAAACAGTTTTGTCTTGTACATATCTACAGTACACTAATAGAACAAGAGAGTTTCCGAATACTCCAAAGACAGCAGCAATTAATTGTGCGATTGTATTGGGAAGTAATCGTTCCGCATGTTGCTCAGAGAAACTTTGTGCAGACTCCATCATCACATTTGTTGTTCAGAATATACGTTTTTATTTGAATTTTAATCCACGCCTTGACTGAAGGACAGATGTTTTGTGATATAAAGGGAAAGTACGATTACTCATCCAAGAGCTACATGTAAAACAAACCTATCACGAGCAACTAATATATATATATATATATATATATATATATATATATATATATATATATATATATATATATATATATATATGCTGCGCGAGCCTACTTACTGTGTAGAGTTTGAATATTTTTTTTAAAATTAGGAAGTGAAAAAGCATAAAAAAAATTATTCCCTGCTGATTAATCCCGGATATATAACTCACTATAGTATCTAAAAGTCGAGAATTTATACAAAACTGTTTTAAGAGTTTGTCTTCAATCAAACGAAATTAAGGGATTGAATGTTTCATTGATTTGACATCGGTCAATGAAAATGATATTTGAAAATTGAATTTTGAACACTTGTGTAATTTTCAAGGGGTGCATCCTTATACTAAGGACATGGGTTGAAAAAGAATATTTTGTCCTTTGAAATAAGTAAAGGTTTATTTAAAAAAAAATGCAGTGAAATTAACTTCCTTCTGAATTATAATAAATTATCCTCAGCAAAAATACTTTCATAGAAAATTACATGTAAGCAAAAGCTTATATTTTGTTTATTGCATGATCTATATATGCCACGGATACGCCTACATCTAGGTGCATTGTTAAAAAAACAACACAAGTTGTTCGAAAACAAATTGTCAAAAATATCTCTGATTGAAACCTTACAGTCTTTAATTTTAGTAAAGGTTTGCTTTGTTTTTATACCAAAACTGGTTATCTGTTGACTGTATATATGATAAATTGTTAATATCCCGAAGGAGAATCAAATCAATTATTTTGTCAGAGTATGTGCCCCTTACAGACTCAGCAGATTGACACCTTTTTTATACTGGGCACCATGTCAGCTAGTTTGGAATCGTTTATTTTTTCAATATCCGTAGTAAAATATAGACCAAACAATAATGTTACGTCCCTTATTATAAATTAATTCAAAAGAGATTGATCGGTTCAAAAATCATAACGTCAGTGTTTTGTTTATCTTTTCAATTTTTTGTTTGCCCCCACTTTCACTGAAAGTTGGGGATATTAATTTCGGTCTGTCTGTCCGTTCGTCCATCTGTCCGTCTAGCTGTATTTCTGTCTGTAACACTTTCGTTTCCGCGGGATATCTCGAGAAGCCTTTGAGCTTTGGCAATGATATTTTACATAGCAACTTCCTATGACTTTAAAAAAAGACCCCTATTGATTTTGGGGTCAAAAGGTAAATGGTCAAGATCATAATTCACAAATCCTGTGTGTTTAAACACTTTCGTTTCCACGCGATATCTCAAAAAGCCTTTGAGCTTTTGCACTAAAATTTTACATAACAACTCCGTATGGCCTAAGGAGGATCCTATTGATTTTGAGATCAAAAGGTTAATGGTCAAAGTCGTAAAATCATACATTCTGTCTGTGTATAACACTTTCGTTTCGGGCGATATTCAACAAGCTTTTGAGCTTTTGCAATGAAATTTTATACCATAACTCCCTATGGTCCCGACTGCAGCTCTCAAAGTGTCCCGCCCGTTGATTTTTTTTTTTAATTTGATCAATTTTTATTTTATCAAAAGTCAATTGGAAATTTTGTTGGCATCGATCACGCTCAGAGTTTTAGTGTTACTCCCCGTTTTCTATTTGCTTCAGTATACATTTGATAACTGCAAATCCCGGAACCCTCCCCCCTCCCGACCCCCCTCTTGATCCGTGCATGCTCTTTTTTCCTTAAGCGGGGGACACAAATTCTCTGAATTAGCTTGTTAAAGTAAACTTTGCTTTCTAAGCGTCAGAGATTCTGAACATTAAAAGAAAGCATTTTGTTACGGGTACTGCCTACATGTTTGAAAAGAGAGGGTTGGATGACTGAAAAATTAAAAAAAAATCTATTATCACAATTTTCAATTGCATAAATTTTTCTATGATTCTCAAAAATATTCATTTTACGTAACCGACGTCACTCCGATGACATATTGCTATGTTTTACACATGTACATGTTTATTGCTTTTCGTTTTTTATCACCGATTGTTGTTCATTGTAATTTTTTTTTAATCTTTTAATGTGAATGTCTCATCTGACTGAACGAATTTCAAAAGCTTTGGTATATCAGGTGTAGCAGGGATTATATATTGTAGAAAACTGCGAGATTAGATTGTCTATAATTTTATTCCATTTATAATTACCTGATCAGTCAGTGCCCTGAAAATGCAGTGCATATTTCAATATGGAAACATAAGCAGTAATTGTATATTAACAAATAATAATAAGAAGAAACATTAAACCACCTCTGAGGAACACAAGAGTTATCCATCTTGATTCAGAGTTTCATATAATGCAAAAATCATATTAAACATGCACATATGTTGACATTATAATGAGCAGAAAAAATATTACTAAATTTCAAATTAACAATTTTCAGAATGAAAGAATAAACCAGAATTGTAGATCAGAACAGAAAATTTGTAACTTTTTTTAGGAACAGATTCATTTTAATAAATGTTAAATTTCATCCTTCATCCCAAAATAATTCATGTAGCTTATCATTTCTAATAGATATCATGAATAATAAATTGATGTATTGTTAAAGTAAGTTGTGATATTTACATTTCTTTAAAACAGCGAGAGATTTTATTTTTATGTAGTTGTATATACTCTTAAAAAGAATCGCATAATAGGCACAATACTCTGAGAAATGTAAGATGGTTTTTGTCATACAATTTTTTTTTTAGACGGCTATGATTCATTCGAGTAAAATGCGTTATTTTTTAACGCAATTGTTAATTGTACAGCTATTCTACAAATCTCACATACAAAAAGACCCGATTTTGCAAAATGCTAAAAACAATTTTTTTCTCAATTTTTATTTGTTGGTTTCTGATGCAATTCTTTAAGGTAACAAAGGGCTGAGGTTCCCGATATTTTGATTCTGGTTTTATCTGATAATTGACGATATTTAAAAATGCTGCATCTGAATGTTGCATATCACAAAAAGGAAAATGGGCGACTGGAAGCAGGTGTACCACAGTATACAATTGCAAGAGGTTAGGCATAGCACCATATCTAACCTATAAAACATATACCATCAGCATGGAACATCCATTGTTCCCCAAAAATATGGCAGACCACGCGTGACATCAGCAGCACAGGATCGCTTCAGTAGTTTGCGTAATTTTCGTGAATGACGTCATCTACAGAATTAGCTATCCCTGAACTGCACAGCATATCTAATAAGACCGTTTGCAGTTGACTACGGTATGCTGGAATTATTGCCAGAGGATTATTCATGCCATTGTTCTGACCCCACAACACCACAAATATCGGCTTCAAAGATTTCAGACCAACAGAGTATGGCCACAGCAACACCGCTGAACATTTTGGTTTAGCTACTAGTCCAGAATGTTTATCGCTTAGCCTGTTGTAAGTTTAAGAGTGCATAAGCTTTGTAATGAACGTTTTACAGAAAACTGCCTCCAGAACGTTGATAGATTTGGTGGTGGTAGTTTAATGATATGGAAAACGTTATTACAGAAAAGTACGACTGATTTGGTTCATATTCAATTAAAGGACTTTGATGGAAAAAGACACTCTAACGATGTTCTACCTGCACATGCCTTTCCAATATTGCAGCATCCTAGAGCCGTATTTCAATCTGACAATACACAGCCACATACGACTCGTTTGACAATGACATTCTTGCAAAGAAACAGCAACCTGTTTCTGCCATGCTCATCAAAATTGCCAGATTTAAACCCAGTTGAGCATGCATCGGACAAAATGGATTGGTATGATTTGCCAAAGACAATCGCATCCCTAGACTCTGCAACAGCTGACCAGAGCTCTACATTTAGAGTGGGAGAGTATACCTACACAGTTCTTAATACACGCATTTGCTTCCATTAGGTGCCGTTGTAGGCTATCCTTTATTACTGGGGGGGGGGGGGGGGGGTATACCAGATAATGATCTTTGATGGCGTTGAACTGTCTATGATTTTTAAATTCTTGCGTAGTTATGACATATAGATTGTAGACCTATTTTTAACCAAATTTCTGTATTATCAATACGTCATTTTACTAAATTATATTTATGTTCAGTTTGTCACTAAAATTCCACTATGCGTTTCTTTTTGGAAGAGTATATTTTTTAACCCATGGATAGTTTAGCTGAAAGTGTCTGTGTCTCAGGTCAGAAATTTTGAGGAAAAAATTAAAACAACTGAAGTTGAAATAAGATGAATTCTACTCATGAACTCTTATAACAGGTTATTCGACAATATAATATATTCACATATGTTTGGCAATCAAATAAAATTCCATCACCAACATAAAATAAAAAAATATAAAACAAATATGACCTCGAACAAAATTAAAGGTTGCGCGGCCTGGCGCAGCCCGCCAGTCAAGCTTGACTTTAGTAACGTCAGGAAGGTTTTAACATTTCTTTTAAAGCATTTTCCAATCCTTTTTATACATTTCTGGTGTCGATTCACCCATACAAATTTAAAACATTCCGGGTCATAGAAAGACATGATATCTTTTACTGCTAATCTAAGTTAACTAAAATTTCTTTAAACTTCATTGAGATTTCCTTTTAATTTATTTTGGAGAAAATTGCAAAATCCCAATGTGTGGAGACAGATGCTACTTATTACTGTAACAATCTTAGCGCATCCCGAGTTTGGATCATTTTTACTATTAGCAAATCCGTCCTTGAACCCCTGATGCCACTAAAATACTGAAGATTTAGACACAATTTTTTGTTCTTCTTCTATTATTTCACATATTTTAAAGTATCCCTAGATACATAACAAAACTTATATATTACACGTACACTTTTTTGTTTATACACTAGAAAGCAGAAGTTCACATCTTCCGGAAATGGCGAGGACAGATTTGTTGTGCTAGAATGAATGGCCAATTCATAACCGAAACGAACCTGCATGGAGTTTGGGACTAGCTCCTTCCTGGTCGTTTTCTTTATTACATATTTTCT